TCTGAAAACCAAATTGGTTCTTTTTGTTTTTGTTGTTTGATTTTCTTTTCTTAAGAAATCATTTGATGGCAGAACTTGACCTGAAGCTATTTACAGTCTATATTCTTCCCACCTAGTGTGAGTTCAGGCATTTTTCTGCAGAAATGTTTTATTTGACTAAAGGTTTTTTCTCCAATGTTCATTGAAGGTTTACTGCCAAATATTCAATCTGTTTATTGCAGTAAACTTTTTTTAAAAGGTTTTATTTATTTGAGAGAGAGAGAGAGCATGAGAGAGAGAGATATCTTGAGCAGGGGGGAGGGGTAGAGGGAGAAGCAGACTTCCCACTGAGCAGGGAGCCCAATGTGGTACTCAACCCCAGGACTCCTGGTTCATGATCTGTGCTGAAGGCAGATACTTAACTGACTGAGCCACCCAGGTGCCCCATTGCATTAACCTTTTAAATAAAAAACAAAATCAAATCTGAAATCAGAAACACATCTGACCTTAAGGGTAGCAGATGAGGGATTAAGAACTTTTGTCCAAGCCCTACATAAATGTGAAAACAAAACAAAACAAAACAATTTGGGTATTGTTTTTCTGTTTTGTGACATGGTATCTACTTTGAGTGCTGTAAATAAAGCCACCTTTGATTGGAGAAGTCTTGTGTTAACATTGAACACTGCCAATCCCGATTATTTCTAACTAATCTTTCCAATGACCTAGAGACGGAGGCGACCAAGAGTGCCCCTATTATTTCCAAATGTAAGTGAAATCCCCAAGATCACGTCGTGGCCATCTTGGGAACCTGGTGACGCTTCTGGCACTTACTTCCATCTAAAGTATTTAGATTCATAAAAACACAGGAAATTAAATTAGAAGGCTTTCCTCTTATACATCTGTCACATTAGAACTTTCTGGAGTAAAATTTTACCCGTTTAATACAACTTCATGTTATAAAATGAAGCATAAATGATATCAAAGCCTTTTTATTCTAAAGTGTGGTCTCAGGGGGCCTGGCTGGTTCAGGTGGTATAGCATGCAATCTTGATCTCAGGGTCATGAGTTTGAGCTCCACATTGGGCACAGAGATTACTTAAAAAAAAAAAAAAAGAAAAGAAAAGGAAAAAAGGTATAGTCTCTACAAATTGTCTTTTTATTTTTTATTTTTAAATTATTTGACAGAGTTAGAGAGAGGGAGAGAGAGAGTGCAAGAGCACACAAGTGGGGCAGAGAGAGAGGGAGAAGCGACTCACCACTGAGCAGGGAGCCCAAGGTGGGGCTTGATCCCAGGACTCTGGGATCATGACCTGAGCTGAAAGCAGACGCTGAACCGACTGAGCCATCCAGGGGCCCTATACATTGTCTTTTTAAAACGTGTGAGTGGTGAGTTGAATTCTTACATGACTTTTTTTCCAAAATTAAAATTATATCTGATTTTTCAGCCATGAAATAGTCGTAGCACTGTCCATACCTTCAAGGGTTGTGGTGTGCATTACAGTTTCAGGTTTTTTTTTAAGATTTTTTCTTTTTAATTTGACAGAGAGAGAGAGATCACAAGTAGGTAGAGAGGCGGGCAGAGAGGGAGGGAGGAAGCAGGATCCCTGCTGAGCAGAAAGCCTGATGCGGGACTCGACCCCAGGACCCTGAGATCATGACCTGAGCCGAAGGCAGAGGCTTAACCCACTGAGTCACCTGGCGCCCCTACAGGTTCAGTTTTATAAAGTGCCGAAGTGCAAAAGAGAGCACTGAGCAAATGGTGGGTGTGTAGTTGGCTTTATGTATTTATAACCACCGGTTCCATCAGGAAAAATGTCACGGCTCTTCTCTTAATCTAGTAACTTCAGGTAGTCAAAATGTAGTTAGTAGAGAACTGGAACCTCCATCCAACCAGGCAGACGTAGAAAACAAAGACACAGAGAGGAGAGGTGGGTCGGGTGATCACCTCTGAGAAGGCAGGAAGCTAACTGGCCATGGAGGGTTGCCATTATAATGGTGAAGGTTGCCTGAGCTCAGCGAGGGGAAGAGCATCTGCTTTACTTCCATCCAGAGTACTAGATGCTGGTGTTTCAGGGCTGACTGCTTTTCCAGCAGCTACTTCCCCAATGAGGCAGTTTCAGCAAAGGGAACTGCCTTTGGCAACATTGGAAAGGAGTTTATACTTAGATTTCAGTGCCCTTAATCTGTCCCACTGTGTAAGTAAATAAATACGGTCCCTTCTTCTATTGACATCTTTTATGTTTTGGGGACAGGAATTGAAGTTTCTGCAGTATAATATCTTCCATAGGAGAAGGCCTGGACTTTCTCGGTGTGATTCTGACAGAACTCAGGGAGGTCTGCATAGAGGGGCTGTGGAGTGTCCCTCCTACTGAGGACACCTTGTCAAGCCTATGAGTTTTACCTCAGATTTAGTGAGCTTCATGGTTGTAAGAAAGGAAAAAGGCAACTTTTCTCCTTTTCCTTCCTCCTGGACTCTTCCACCTTCCAGTGGCAACCAAACCATCTGAGGAAAGAGAGGACTGGCCTTTCCTTGAGCAGTTAACTTTGCAATGTTGGGTCAAAGCGAGGAAGTGACTCTCAAGCCTGGGCACACAGTATATCCATGGGAAAGCTTTTTCGTAGTGACACAAACACCTCACAGCAGAACCACAAAGGCAGGGAGGGTCTGAGAGGGTAGAGGAGCAGCCATTCTACCTTTCAACTCCTCCATAACGATCAGGGATGTGACAATATCAAGCATTCTGCACTCCACTGGCGACCCTATTGTGACACAAACACCTACCCAGCCTCTCATTCTGACCACCAGTCATGAGGAAGCTGGAATCCTCCTGATGAGGAAAGAGACTGAGCTTGCTGTCCCTTGGGTATGACGTGGCTGGAACACATCCTGGGAGTGACGAGGCCCAAGGTGACAGAGGAAAGGCTCACAGACTTGAGAGGAAAAGCTGAATGAAAATGGCAGGGGCGCCTGGGTGGCTCAGTGGGTTAAGCCTCTGCCTTCGGCTTAGGTCCTGGGATCGAGCTCCGCATCGGGCTCTGCTCAGTGGTGAGCCTGCTTCCCCCTCTCTCTGCCTGCCTCTCTGCCTACTTGTGATCTCTCTCTCTCTCTGTGTCAAAATAAATAAATAAATAAATAAATAAATATGGCAAAAGAAAGCAGAATTGAGAGAAGAAAAACAAGGTGAAGATAAACTTACTAATTTTCTACAGACTTCTTTTTGCCTTAGGGATTCTTTACACTCTCTCTCCACATAACATGCTGGGTCATATGCGTGATTCTGAAATGAAATGTGAGCAGGTGGGTGTGTGCAGAAGACTGACTGTTGTGAATCAAGTTAGCAGCTGTGCAGACATCATATGGTGATAATATTCCACCTTCGTGAGCGTGGCACTTGTGAATCAAGTACTTCAGAATATTTTAAGGAAGGGCATTTTAAAAAATGCACAGGAAAATAGGTGAAAATCTAGGGAACAGTAGAATATTTTATCCCTTCCTCTAGGTACCCACACCTAGGCAACACACATAAAATGAAATCCTAATGATGCCTGCTAAGCCTATTTGAAAACAAATCCTATTTGGCCCTATTAAGGGATATTCAGGCTGTCAACTCCTGGTTTTCACTTTTGTTCTTTCTTTCTTTCTTTCTTTCTTTTTTTTATCAAAGGATGGAGGTAGAACTTGTACAAGTTCTTTAAACAGTGTAACAGTGTAACTATATGGAATCTCCTCCCATTTCCCCCCAAACGATATTCATTTTTATGATGATGATAACTGAAAATGTTAAACACAAGGAAAAAGCTCGAGATGTTATTGGGCCAGGTGTATTAAAATAAAATCAAAAAATAGAAATATTAGGCATATACACAAGAGCATAAGTGAAACATTATGAGGTGACATAGCATTTTCTATTCAAAACTTACAGTAGAAAACTTTAGTAAACAGAACCTCTCGTATCCTGTGTTACGGGGGCTCTTTCCAGCTTCATTAGTCACTTATTCTGCTTTCATATCTTTGTATAAATAATCTCACACATGCCTTACACAATTTAGAAAAGATTGCTGAATCACAAAAATAGACCCAAAGATCGCATTTTTACTTTTCTCAAGTACAACTAAAATTAACATTTCATCATTAAAATAACGTTCAAATCATTGGAAGCAATAAAGAAAATTCTTACATTTTTAAGGACCCAAGAGGCCCTGCAGAGATTAAAATCTTATTACTCTCCCAAAGTGAACTGTCAAGAAAGTGTCTATATAAGAAGTTGTGGAATTGAAAAGGTGGACTGTTAAAGATATTCCTTCTTAGGGTAGAGCCGTACCCGAGGCCCTGGTCCCTGTCCTGAGAGATCTGGGCCAGCCCTGGCCGTCGGTGGGGTCCACGCTGGGACACACAGCAGCTCTGCATGCTCACAAGGGACATTTCTACAAGGACAGACCAGAAAGAGCCCTGTGGCTGTTCTGCTTCATGTGTGGGGGTCCTGAGCAGTCTCCACGGAAGGAAAATGTTTAACAGTCTCAGATTTCAGGGGGAGGGGACCTCACCGAAATCTGGGAGAGACCATTTTAAGGTTCGGACTTCATCTGCAAAATTAACAGATTGGATTAGTAATTTTTTTAACAGATAAGCCAAAGCATAGAGAAAATGCAAAGAAGGGTCATGATTTGCATCTGGTTATTTGACTTTTATAAATGAGTTTAAGTCTGTTACTATTTGAGATTCACTGCAATGGCCTCTGAACCTCAGAGTCACACATTGAGCTGTAAACAAGATGCCAGAGTGGATGCATTTTGGACAGAACAAGTGTTTTCTTCTCAGAAGGCTGTCTGCAGATGTGGTCGAGAAAAGCAAGATTGCCAGCTGGGACGGGTCCAAGTGGCAATCAGTGGGCATCAGCCAATGAGAACGAGAATACTTTTCTTCCATGTCGAGAGTGTCCTTCCTGAGTAACCTAGCCTCACTTTCAGGAAGCAGGGACGGTGTGTGAGATCCTAGCGCAACCAGGGATTGTCCTGTCTTCTTTTTGTAGGAGGCAGCCGTCCCAGCGAATGGCCATGAGTCTTCCTGTGCTTTAAGGCTGCTGCTGATACTGCCCTTCCGTGGCGGTGTAGAAATCATCCAGGACGCTCTGCAAGTAATCGAATGTTGGCCTCTCTTCTGCCTTTTCCTTCCAGCACATTTTCATGATGTCATAGAGCTCGTCTGGGCAGTTCTCCATGCGGGGCATCCTGTAGCCCTGGGACAGGGCGGTCATCACATCGGCATTAGTTCTCCCTAAAGCAAAAGAAATGTACATTGAGAAATCTGACCCAATCTGAGAAATCAGAGCGTTGCAGTGGGCTTTCTGATCCTCACATCCCGAATTTTTTTTTTTTTTTTATTTTACTTATTTGAGAGAGAGCGAGAGTGAGCACAGAAGGAGAAGCAGACTCTCTGAGGAGGGACTCAATCCCAGGACCCTGAGATCAGGGCCAAAGCTGACAGCAGACGCTTAACCAACTGAGCCACTCAGGCACCCCATCTGGCATCCATACTTGAAGCAAGCTTTAGAGGTGGTTATGGGCTGAATGGTGCTCCGCCCCCCATAAATTCATTTGTTGGGAGTCCTCAGAACTGTGAACTCCTCAGTCCTCAGCCTTGGAGCATGACTGCCTGTAGAGATAGGGTTTTTTAAGAGGTAATCAAGTTAAAATGAGGCCTTGAGGGTGGACCCTAACCCAATCTGACTGATGTCCATAGAAGAAGAGATTAGGACACAGAGACCTGGGATGTGTGGGCATTGTGTGGGCACCGAGGAAATGCCCGTGTGAAGACACAGACAGAAGGTGGCCATCTATAGGCCAACAAGGAGCCTCAGGAAAAGCCAAACTTGCCAACAACTTGTCGCAGATGTCTGGCCTCCAAAACTGTGAGAAAATTAATTTCAACTTTTCAGTCTGTGGTATTTTGTTATGACAGTCCTCACAAATGGATAGGGAGGCTAAGGAGACATCTGTGAGCAACTAAATAATGTAAATTTTAGTATGAAGGGGATCAAGACAGTATTGTTTGTCTGAGTGAGAACAGGCCAAATGGGAAGTAGAAGACAGAGCAGGTTCGTAATGGCAGAAGCATAATGAACTTGACTGACTCAGATGAACTACTCAAACCCAATCCTAACCCTCAGTCTAATTCTTTTTGTAGTATTGTTTCCAGCTTCTACCTGCAATACATATACCAAAAAATCATCTTCACATACGTTATCTCATACAAATATATATATATTTTAAATCAGCTTCTCCCTGTAAGTTTACTAGAAGAAGTCAAAATATTTAAATCAGCTAGTCCAATGGATTATGTCCCAATCATTAAACTGTCCCCTACAAAGTCTTCAATACAGGCCAGAGTCAGAGCTCACACTGATTCTGGATATGAGTGTTCTCAACACCCAGTGAGGGAAGTAGGGTGTTCATTATTCTTACTGAGCTCTACAAGAGGACTGGTAATGAAGGGCAGCTTTTAATATGGTCAAATGACTCAGGGTAGTTCAGAAGCTGAAATGTCCACCTTTGATATCAAGAACAGGTTTAAGGGGAAAAAAAGATCATTTTCCTCCATGATTAAAATGGGACAGAGGAATATGCTCATTTAGTGGTTCAGCAGGACCTATCCACATCTGCATGTTTTGTGGATACCTCATTCTGTAGGGAAAAAGGTATTACATGCAGCGTATTTTCAGGCAGAATATGTCTGATGCCTGGCACATGGAGAATTCCATTTATCACAATCAATTTCCTTTCCACAGCCGTAGATTTTTACTACTGGTGGTCACTGGGAAGATTCTAAAAGATAGCTATTTTACTAGATTTGAAACAGAGCCTTCTTTTGAATTTATCCTCTAATCTGTGTTTCTCAAATTGTGGGTCACTACCCATTTGAGATCAACAAATTGATTTTTTAGGCAGCCACCAGTATTCTTTTTCTTTTTTTTAATATTTCATTCATTTATTTGATAGAGAGAGAGATCATGAGTAGGCAGAGTGGCAGGCAGAGAGAGAGGGAAGAAGCAGGCTCCCCACTGAGCAGAGAGGCCGATGCGGGGCTCGATCCCAGGACCCTGAGATCATGACCTGAGCTGAAGGCAGAGGCTTTAACCCACTGAGCCACCCAGGTGCCCCAGCTACCAGTATTCTTAAAAATAAATCAAAACAAAATGAAATAGCAAAGACCAGAATGCACCGCACATAGTGAGAGTTAGTGAGATTTTGTGAAACTTTTATTCTATTTGTGGAGTGGGGTTTCTGTTTATTTCTTAACCATGGGGCATGATCAGTGACCTTTGAACTCCTCTGCCCTTAACTAAGCTTTCTTTTTCTAAGAACAGGGACTGAAGGCCCTGCCTAGATTTAAACCCTTGAAAGAAGACCTGATTACTTCTGTCTTGGAAGAGTCCTTCTTTTTTGAAATGGAAAGTTCCAAGCAAACTTGATAAATGAGGAAATCTCTTGAAAGTTGTTTACATGGTGAATTAATTTTGCTGAAGTCTTCTGAACCACAATCTTCAGATATTTGTGTAACTGGAATGTTCTAATGAAAAGACTTCAATTTACTCTCATAAAGAGAATAAATTGAATAATAAATCTTGAAGCCAAGAGACTGATTTGCAGCCCTTTCTTCATTTGGGGTTCCAGTCTCCAGAAAGTATGTGGTTTCAGCATAGCTCTGGCTCTTGCCATGAACCCTGCTCACTTGGATAAATGTCAGGTGAAATCCCTCTATTTGCTTTTACATGGGCACTGGGTGAAGCTCTGGGATCCTGGGAGGAGGACTAACATTCAGGATGACAGAAAATGGCAGCTCGATGGCCAACTTCTGGAATATCTCTTTCACTTTCTGCCTGGAGAACCCCCAGCTGAGATGATTTTTCTAGCCCCATCCCGGCCTTGTCCCACTGCAGATTTCTTCTTCCTCATTCTCATATGTTTTCCTAACTCTGCAGGACTCTCCATGGTGCAGATAAAGGCCAGGTGTGCTCCATCCTGTCTGGGGGAATCTGACTTGGTAAGAGGACTAGAAAGAAAGAAATCTGAATGCCTGAGTAAATAAGGCTATTAAGTGACAAGTCTTATGGAAGAAAGAAAGAGAAGGGGAGGGAGACCTCAACCAAACCCTAAGATTAAACCTGATACTTGGTCATTGCTCTGTTGCTAGATTAAAGAAAGCAAACACCCACTGGCCAGTGATCAGAAAAGCAAGCAGTTTCATGTTCCAGCCCCCGTTCTCTCCACAAGCATTTCCTGAGCGTTTACTATGGGACACAGGCTAACACTAAGCTCTGACAGATACAAAGACAATGAAGACTGAGCGTTGTCCACAAATGGCTCACAGCCCAATGGGGGAGATACCCCAGAAGAGGGAGGTTGGTGGGGAGCAGGAAGTGAAATCTGGAGTGGATAGGAATTAGCAGAGACTAGAGGTTGGTGACGGAGCACAGGGAGGAGAAAAGTGCAGTCCGGCAGAGAAGAGAAAAGAAATAGAGAGTGAGCAACTCTCCTCTGGATGGGAATCCAGCAGCTCCAGAAAGAAAGTCTTTAGAGACAAGGGGCCTTTTTGTGTGTGAGAGCAAGAAGTAGGGGCTGCCATGAGACATAGTCTCCCATCTGGTAGTACTTCCAAAAAGGTGATTTTTTCAATGTTGTTTTGAGTACTGCCTGTGATCAAAGTAAGCATTTACAGAAGATGAGTTCCCTGATTCCAATTTACACGTGTTACTAAGATGCTGGACACGTCTGGGAAGAAACAGCCAGAGAAGACCTGAAGCTTCAGAAAATTGTGTCACTTTCAAGCCTCCTTTTTCTCTGTAAGAGCAAAGCAAAACAAACCCCCAACCACAAAGATCCCCTCTATAGTCCTCAGAAAATTCATATATGGACATTATCATAGTTTGCTTTTAAGCTAGTGAGGTAAGGATCTTTGGCCTCCCCTCCTTTTCCCCCTTTAATTCATCCTAAAACAATGAGAACAAAAATCAAAAACTTAAACTCCATCTTTGGTGTCATGCAGAGGTAGAAGTGGGTTGAGCCAAGAAGAGGAACGTGAAACTGAAGTGCCATTAAGAGAGGAACCCAGCAACGGGCCGCATGTTTCACCCCGCCCTGGGAAGGGTCCCCATGAAGCCACACCATGGAGTGAAGGGAGAGGTTGGTGGCTGCAGACAGACTGTACCCAGAACCCACCTGGCAGGTGCCCCAGGTTAACGCCGGGGAACCTGCAGGAGACGAACCCCACCCCCCCACCCCACCCCCGCTCAGGAATGCCAGTGGAGGGTGGAGTCAAGTGTGGGATGGAAAAAAGTCAAATGTGGGATGGAGAAAGGCAGAACATGGAAAAAATGAGACCCTTCTAACACACACCACAACCTGAATGAACCTTGAGGACACCACCTTCAGGGACAGAAGTCAAACATGAAAGGACAAATACTGTATGATTCCACTTAGAGGAGCTGCCTAGAGTTGTCAAATTCACAGAAGCAAAAAATAAAATAGAAGGTACCAGCGGCTGGAGGGTAAGGAATGGGGAGTAATTGATTTATGGTTATAGTTTAAGGTTGTGATGATGAGAAAGTTGGGGAAACTAGGGGTGAGGATGGTTGTGTACCAATGTGAGTATGTTTACTGCTACTGAACCATACATTTTACTCTGTGTATATTTTACAATAAAAAAATACAATGACAACAACGAAAGACACCGACGCCCCTTCCCTAGTGCACCTCCAGATTGCTGACAGCCAGGTTCGTCCCCCCACAGGCAGGACCTGGAAGACGCTGACCCAGGAGGGTGCTAACAAGGATGCCAGGAACCACCACAGACCCTCATTCCCATAAAACATCTCATCAAAGGAAGGGTGAGGAGATAAGCCTTCGAGCAGTACTAAGGGCAGAGTGAGAGAAACAGAAGAGCAGACAGGAGACTCAGAGCGGCTTCCACCTTCCAGCATGGGACTCAGAGAACAGAAAATGGAGAAGAAGATATCTTCAAACTTCCCAGAATTCATGGCTACAGGTTTCCAAACAGAAGGGACAAAACAAGTACCCAGCCTAACATAACAACGACCAGTGAAAGTTCAGGCATAAAGAGAGATGCTGAGTTCTTCCACAGAAGAAACAGGATCCAAGACACAGGACAGGATTCAGAAGCCATCCGCTTTGGCCCAGCTGCACAAGAAGCCAGATCCAGGGCAGGAATTTATTTAAAATTCTAGGCGAAAGGTTGGTGTACTAGTATTCACAACATAAGCAAAATTGATAATGGTACCTACTTAGCAATTTAATTTTATCTAGGTCATGAGTCTCTCAAGAAAAATTCCTATTTGGACAAAGTCCCAAGTATGAATTAGAAGCAGAATACTAACTCTGATGCCTCAAATTTTCATGAGGACCAACTCCAAAGTCATGTACAGCAGCAACCATGATGAACTGTCTTTACTCATTCTGTGCTCACTTATCAGTGAGAACAAGAGAAGCCTTAAGGATTCCTCATAGCTTTGAGCCTGGGTGGGGGAAAACTAAAGATTTTAAAACTCAACAGAAAATTATTGAAATGGACTATAGTAGTTGAAAACAAAGTGTTTGGGGCATTTGCCCAAATTATGATTGATAGGTACAGGCCTCTTTCTAAAAAATGTGTTAAGAAAAAGACTTCTCCTGAATTACATTTGGTGTGCACAGAAGCTCAGGATATTAGATGTACCTGTTTGACTAATCTATTTCAACACAGAGGACTGCAAATGGGAAATGACACTCCTACCCTCTACTGTCCCATATTTAGTATTTGACTACTAGAATTTTGACAGGTAACTTTCACTGACAAAATTGTGTATTTTACTATCTTATTCCCAGAAGTTTGCTCTCCATTGGAGATATCAGTTTTGGCAACCAGCAAACATGTGTATTTGGTATACCTCTAGTTGTGCCTCCATGGATATTTCTAGAATGTTTCTGTTCAATTCGCCATAAAGTGATAATAATGGTTCCAATGGGGGAAAGGGGAGGAGGGGTGAGTGGAGATGAGGAATAAAAGACACACCACTTCCACCATATATTTCTTTGTATCTCTTGAATTAGAACCATGGGATCATACTCTTAATGATACATAAAATGGGAAATTTTTTTACTGAAGAGATAATAGTATAATGTTTTGAATTCTGAGCAACAAATATTAAAACAAATAACTAAAATTCCTGAAAGTAAATGCCTTTGAGGAGCATGAAGCCAGGGAGGCAATTTTTCATTAAAAGTAATTTCGTACTGATTTTTTTGAAACATGTATATTACTTAAAGATGAACTGAAATATTTAATAAAGACATAATTTTTTAAAAATTATAAAAAAATTAAAACTGGAAGCTTCAGAAGCTTATCAAAAAGAAAATTAATAAAACCTATCATCTTATTGCCCAAGGATAGTAACATCTTGGTATATTTCATTTTTAGTCTTTTATTTCCTTTAAAAAATACATGTTCACTTTATATTTGCTTTCCTTATTTCCTCTTTGTTTTGTCCCCTCCTCTCTCTTATTTCCATTATTTTGCAAAGCTAGGCATATGGTTTCTAAACCACTTAAAAAAAAAACAAACCAAACTTAACATATCCAGCACTCTTCTGGGTAAAGAAAATATGCCCAGATAACTCAATTATCAGTGGGGTCTCTCCCACTTGCAGCTTTCTAACTGATGGAAATGGCCTGTGTTGGCATCATTCACCAATTTCTGTGGTACCTGTGAATCAAATCCTCTGATATTTATGTAAGTAGGATTGTTCAGTTCTGTTTGCCTCTCCTAAAGCTACAGGCTTTTCTCATGACCAGAACACATCACCAATCTAGAGCTCCCGATGGTATCTTAAAAGACAAAGCTACCAGGGTAGCTAGTAGATTGTATTACTTATTACGTTATGTTAGTCACCATACAGTACATCATTAGTTTTTTAAAAAATATTTTGTTTATTTATTTGAGAGAGAGAGAGATCACAAGTAGGCAGAGAGGCAGACAGAGAGGGGGGATGCAGGCTTCCCCCTGAGCAGAGAGCCCAACGCGGGGCTCAATCCCAGGACCCTGAGATCATGACCTGAGACAGAGGCAGAGGCTTAACCCACTGAGCCACCCAGGTGCCCCCCCATCATTAGTTTTTGATGTAGTGTATCATGATTCATTGTTTACTTATAATGCCCAGTGCTCCACGCAATATGTGCCCTCCTTAATACCCATCACTAGGTTCACTCACCCCCCCACCCCCCAAAACCCTCAGTTTGTTTCTCAGAGTCAATAGTCTCTCCTGCTTCATCTCCCCCTCCAATTTCCCTCCCTTCACTTTTCCCTTCCTTCTCCTAATTGTCCTCCACATTATTCCTTATGTTCCACAAATAAGTGAAACCTTATGATAACTGACTTTCTCTGCTTGACTTATTTCACTCAGCATAATCTCCTCCAGTCCCATCCATGTTGATGCAAAAGTTGGGTATTCGTCCTTTCTGATGGCTGAGTAATATTCCACTGTATGTATGGACCACATCTTCTTTACCCATTTTATTTATTTATTTATTTTTACCATTTTTCTACTGCTTTTTTCTTTTTTTAAACAATTTTTTTTACCCTGAACATTTTAAAATCCTGGACATTGAGCACAGTGGATAAGAATAAAGTTTTTGGGAGGCACAAGGGCCTGGAGTTCAGAAGCAGCTCTACCAGGAGCTAGTGGTTTTCAGTTCTGGGCAAGAGTCTCCTTCTCTGAGCCTCATGGGTATCATTTGTGTGTCATTCTGGAGCATGTCAGAAATATCACAGATCATCTGATGAAGTTAAATGCTTATCTGATCCAATATCGGATTATATATGTAATCTGAACAGACAATCATTGTAGACAGATATAGGTCATAAACATAGATGCATAATATCAGGTATCAGGACTGATCAAGAAATATTTTCCCTATTTTACAGATAGAGATTATAGATATAGATATATAATGTCAGATTCATCAGGATTGATCAAGAAAGTATTTCTTTTTCCTGATTTTCCCTATTTTCCAGTAATGTTTCCATTCATTTCAGCATCCAGAGCAGAGTGGCAGTCAGATTATGAAGTGTTGGCACAAGGGGGATTTCAAGGCACAGTTGACTCACTGTGTAGGTGCCACCCAAAGGCTCTCCCCTCCCCGCTGGCCCCTGGTCCCCGACTTCCCTATGGCTCCTCCCCAAACAGCACTGAGGGTGATCAGGGGCATGAAGGCCACACTGAGGCTCTCTCCACAAGTTTTTAACCACGTCATTCATTCATCCAGCAAATTCTCATTGAGACCCAAATCACAGGGCCTCGGGATCCCATACAGTGGCTGTTTCCTCTACAGGACGCTCAGCCCCACAGACAGCCCTGTGGCTCTCTCCTCAAACCTACTGCTGCCAGGATCACAGCAGAAAACCAGCAACACCCCCCTCCTCCTCGCTAATCTCTAACCCACTCGATAGGGCACTGTGCCATCTCACAACCTGTCGCCTCACTGTTACCAGCCTCCTCCTACTCTTTAGAATATCAGCTCTCAAAGGCAGCAGCTGGGACCCCTTGGAGGTGCCCAGCAACCTCAGATATTTTTCGAAAGAGAGAATGAGTTGGCCATTAAAGATTTAATTTTAAATTCATCGTGTCCATCAATTTAGTAAAAAGCCTAACATTAACGAGAAGACTTTGGGAGGAATCCTCCTTCTTGCAAATTGAGGCACAGACAATCTGGCTCCAAGGGCTCTCGGTGTTTGAAATCTAGAGACACTGAATGGACGTCCTCACATTTGTTAAGTAACGGATGGGAAAGACCTTTCACTGATTAACAGAGGTGGTTATTTCCCAAAGAGGCAGAGGCTCCAAAGTACTTTGTATAAAACTCAGTTTCAAAACTAATCCAAAAGCACTGGGAATCCTCATTTCTGTGTCTGTTTCCTCCCTCATCAGGTGCCCTGCTTTGGAGAAGCACGTGTGTCTAACCTTGAAATCCCGCCTCGTATATGCAACAACTATGACGGGGCCAGGCACCTTCTGGGCACTAAGAGGTAGAATTCGTTAGGGGAGGAAAAAGAAGATGCACTCAATCAAATAAGAAGGCAGAGAAATGTCTAAGCATTTTTAGAACACTTTCCACTCAAGACGGTCTTTTGGAACAAAGGGCTTATTACTCTTAGCTTTTGGATATGGGTTTATGTCTTTAAGCCTCCTGCCACTTTCCTTTTTTTCTCCTGCAGACCTCTTGAATGGAAATAGGTAAGAAAACAGTACCTGGGTAGGGAATTTTCCCATAGGTGACGATTTCATACAGGAGAATTCCGAAGGACCACACATCAGACTTAATGGTGAAACATCCAAAGTTGATGGCTTCTGGAGCTGTCCACTTAATGGGGAATTTGGCACCTAAGGGAGAAGACATGTCTTACTTGGGCCTCTGAGCCGAACCAAAAAAGTCATGGGTATGTGGGTTTCATACTTTCTTTCTTTTGGGGAAAATTTTAACTATTTCTTTCGAATAGGTAGTGCACACACATAACACAGAACAGAGATGGCACAAAAATGCCATACTGAAAATAGTTCCCTCCCTCCCCTGTTTCCCTTTTGGGCATTCCCCCTATAAGAAGCAAAGTTTCTTATGTATCCTCCCAGAGACATCATAATGAGCCCACTTTAAACAAAAGAATATGGCACAGAATGTAAAGGCATTTGTTCTTAGCTTGTGTATTTGTCCCTCAGCAGCAGCCCCTAAAACATGTATCTTCAGTGTTCAAATGTTCTCCAATGAGCCCATACTATGTTTATATGGAATATAAATTATCTCTTGATGCACACATTCTTTTGGACATCTCTGTAAGCCCATACCAATAGGAAATTTAGATACTACTTCACAGGTTAAGGTATCTCCTGCTTTCACTTGCTGAGCCCAGACATTACTACTTTTAGGAATTGGGTAGCATCATGATCTGCACAGAGAGAGAGAGTGATGACACCAAGATTCACACAAGAAGCTAGGGCTAAGGGACAAACCTGGCTCAGGGGTAATTTGCAGGGACAGAATGCCATCCCTATATGCTGGAAAGGTTAGGCTCCCACCAATCATTTTTAAAGATTTTAAACACGCTTGCCTTTATTAGGTCTTTGCTTTAGAATTTCTTGTGGTGTTAGACCCAAACTGGAAATCTGAACAAGATCAATAAGGACAGCAGACAGCCTCATGGGCCTGCTAGGTACAGCATGTAGGGTACTCACTGTTGCACGATCTGGGGATTGACCCTGCATGGGTGGGTGGCAGCAGGGGGCAGGGTGGGGGGATGGGGCAGGGTGGCTCCAGGGTGGCCCTAGTTGGGGGGCGGGTGGTCACACAACTTGGTGTTGAACCTGGAAGGCCACTCACTACTGTCTCTGGGGGTTCTCAGCACCTTCATCTATAAAACGTGGAGACATAACTTCCCTAAAGTTGGTGCCAGAGTTAAGTGGGTTTACCTGCATGCGTGGCAGGGGTAAATACCAACATAAGGTAATTATTATGGTGGGCCTGAAATGGCTACTATTTAATTCTAGAACCCAGGATCTCTGCACTAAGCCACCTGTCTCATCCAAGAAGAGTTAGTTATGGGGTGCCTGGGCGGCTCAGTCAGTTGGGTGTCTGCCTTCGGCTCAGGTCATGATCCCAGGGTCCTAGGATGGAGCCCCACATCAGGCTTCCTGCTCAGCAGAGAGCCTGCTTCTCCCTCTTCCTCTGTCTGTGCTCACTCTGCCTACTTGTGCTCTCTCTGTGTGTCAAGTAAATAAATAAAATCTTCGGAAAAAAAAGAATAGTTAAGTTATTTTTCTGAGGCACCAGGCTTCTCTAATTCAACAGAGCCAGTGGACTATGTTCCAGCTGGTGAACTTTCAGGCTACATCTCCTGGGTTTGGTTCTTGGCTCTCCCTCTTACTATCGGACCTTAGAAGCTGCTGAACCTCTCTGTGGCCTCACCTATAGGGTGGGAATGATAATAATAATAGCAACAACAATAGGGCTTATTACATAGGGTTATTGAAAACATAAATGAGATAACGTATAAAAACTACTTAGAGGGGCACCTGGGTGGCACAGTCAGTTAAGCATCTGACTCCTGATTTTGGCTCAAGGCATGATTTCAGGGTCCTGGGATTGAGCCCCATGTTGGGTTCCACGATTAGTGGGCAGCCTGCTTGAGATTCTCTCTCTCCCTCTCCCTCTGCCCCTCCCTGCTTTGTGCTCTCTTCCTCTATCTAAAATAAATAAATAAATCTTTAAAATTAAAAAGAGAGAAAAGCACTTAGAATAGTGACCGCCATACTGCAACTACTCACTACATTTTAGCTATTATTTTTCACTCCCCCTCCTCAAACTGTTTTCCTTCACCTGCCTTTTTGCTGAGAACAAGCTGTCACCCACCTAAGAGAATGCAATCTTGAGGCAGGAGGAGAACTGCCTGAAACATGATGGGCACAAGAGATGCTAAACAAATCAAAATGATGTTCTCAAGCTGCCATCTTATTTATTTATATTTTAGTCACTTATTTGTCAGAGAGCAAGAGAGAGGTCACAGGCAGGGGGAGCAGCAGGGGGAGAAGCCGACTCCCTGCTGAGCAGGGAGCCCAACGTGGGACCCAATCCCAGGACCCTGGGATCATGACCTGAACCGAAGGCAGACGCCCAACCTACTGAGCCACCCAGGCGCCCTCTCTGTGTGTTTTAATATGTGTGGAATATGGAACATGGTTAAATAAAGGAGTGCATTACATTTACTTCTCTGTATGTGATAATTTCCGAGTTTTAATTTGCAATAAAAAGGCCAGAATACAGGATACAGAATTATTGTTGCAAATGTCTTCTCTACAGTTAGAACAGTGTACTTCATTGTTTGGGTAAAAACATTGAACATACAATATAAACAAAGAATTCTGAACTTGCCAAACCTCTTTTTGTTTTCCTTTGCTTAAGTGAAATACAAATGACAACATCTGTAAACTTTACAAACAGTATGTGGAGTTAATCAGGAGAGTAATTTCTAAGAACAGATATGAGAACAAACCCACAAACAGCAACTATGGTCCATTGTGAACATTTTGCCAAATGAGTTCTTTTTAAGGATGACTACTGTAACTGCTTTGTAAAAAAACAAAAAAGAACAGACAAAAACAAAACTAAGTAACAAAACATGTAAAGATAGTAAAGACGGTGAGGACACCATACCTTCCCTTGCTGTGTACTCATTGTCTTCGATTACTCGAGCAAGGCCAAAATCTGCAATTTTGCACATGAGTGACTCAGAGACCAGAACGTTAGCCGCTCGTAGGTCTCGGTGAATGTAGTTCTTCCTCTCGATGTATGCCATTCCCTCTGCAATCTGAAACCAGAAAGAGGCTCTCATTTTCAGTTTAGGGTCGGCTATCATGGAGGACCACCAAGGAAAACCAAAATATGTACGAGTTCCTGAAACCTTTCATGGATTGTTCATCCCAAGTTTTAAGCACAGTAGGTACATTACAATTAATATTTTGAGTCCTTTTTAAAAGAGCTGCCCTCACCCCAAATCTCCAATATAGGGGTCACATCTCAATGTGATTTTTCACACAGCTGCATGCCTTGACATTTTCTAACTGAGGGGGCTCTTTTTAAGACCCTACTAAATTCTTGCACGGAGATACACAGGTATCATGATCCCAGTGTTTCAAATGAGAAAACAGAGCTGGAGAAGGCGACATGCTAATATGAATTAAGTGACTGGGGTATCAAGAACAGGATGTCCTTGGTCAGCAGCATCCAGGCGGGCTGGTTAATCAACAGCAGCCCGCAGAACCGGTTCTCTGAGTTCTCCCTCCTCCATGTTCCAGAAGGAACAGATTCACCCTGACCACAAAGCAGGACAGCAGGAAAGCATCCAAGATTTAAACAGAACCATAAAGTAGGGGAGGTGAGACTCCTCCTTCATTGCATGCTAGAAAATTGGGTTTTTAAGGAAATCAAAAAGCCATGTTTAGGAGCACATTACCCAATTATAAAGATAAAGATCTGGAAGGAAGGAAGGAAAGAATGATGTCCCCAGCTCTGGTGAGCAGTGACAAGGCAGCTCTAATTAGGATTCTGTCACAGAGGAATTAAGTGTATTCATCTGGATTCTACCTCAAATTCCGGCAGTCTCAGCTCGGAGGACCTGACTTCCCCCACTGGTGCCCTCCTTTCACACCCCTTCAGCAAGGCCCTGCTGCTTTGCTTCGTAGGGAGCTCGGCTTCCTGGCTGTGCTTCTCCTGGACCCTCCCCCAGACCGCCTTTCTCACCTCCCCTTGGCCAATCCCTACATTTACCTTCTGCCCACAAGGCCTTCCCTGAACTCCTCTTGGCTGATTTCTCTTCGCTCTCTGCCCACCCTCAATGGTGGATTCGTAAGAAAACCATCCACCCCCACTGATCAGAGCCCCGTCGTATTTTCCTGTTGTTCCCCGGGCTCACTGCTGTCACGCCTGCCTCCAGGGCAGAGGCCGCCCCTTGGACCTTGTCAGTCTTCACGTGTACCTATCGGAACCCTCAACCTTGTCACCAGACTGCTTCTCAGAAAGTTCTTCAGGAAATGCGCTGGGTTTTCAGTGCTACCAGAGTACTACGTTGCCAACACACTGGCTGCAGGAATTGGGCAGATGGGATTTTCACGGCCACAAAAGTCTGGCGTGTAATCATCAGCACACACGAGGGCAGTCTCTCAGTGTCCCTTCAGCCCGGCAGCTTGCATCTGACCGACCCCGAGGAACACCGTTTTGAACCGAGGAAATCGTACATCAGGAAGAACAACGGAGGTCAGATCTTTTGTTTCTGCAGAATGACAACTTAATAATGTACGGTGTTTCCAAGCAAGAGTAGCACGCGTGGCCCTTGAACAGTGCTGGTCAAGTGCAGAAGACCCAGGCTGTGTGACCCCGACCAGTGATGCTGGAGTCCGGTCCCTGCCCTCACCCTGGGCCACGGCATCCCTCGGCAAGAATACTTTAATCCTCTGTGCGAGTCCCACCAGGTCACTCCCTGCTTAAAACTAGCTTCAAGATAAGTCTGAACCTTTTTTAAACGATTTTACTTAATTATTTGTAGAGAGAGAGAGTGAGCACAAGCAGGGGAAGCTGGAGAGGGAGAAGCAGAGCAGGGAGCCCCACCTGGGGCTTGGTCCCAGGACCCTGGGATCACAACCTGAGCCAAAGGCAGACGCTTAATTGACTAAGCCACCAGGCGTCCAGCGTCTGAACTCCTTACCACTGCTCTGCAGCCCTGTGTGACCCGGGCCCTGCTCAGCCCTCCCGCCTCCTCCCGGGTGACCAGCTCCTGTCCTGTATCCTGTAACCTGGTTCCAGAGCTGCCTCTGCTTGGAACATTCAGTCTTGGCCCTTGGGCTGGGCCAACTCATTCTGTAGGCCTCAGTGGAGATGTCACTTCCTCCAGGGAGCCTTCCTGGACACCCCTCCACTAATCTGCCTGGTCCCAGGACGCCCCCCCCCCGCCCCCACTCCTCCTGTTTACCTGCAGGAATGTAAATCCCTCAGAGCAGGTGTAATGCGTGCACATTCCTGTCCTTGGGCCCTTAGGTCACATTCCAATAGCTATATATAGATGGGGGCAGGAACCCCAAAGAGCCAAAGCTGGCCACCATCTCAGGTGGGGCCTGCACCTGCATTTGGCTGTAGCCGTGAGGGACCTGTGCTGGGCCCCTCTCTAGGGATGCAGACTGACCCACACAGATGCGTGATGGTGGCACGGACGGAGCCTCTAGGACACGCCACCAACTATCCACGTCTCACTTATTCTTGCTGGTGGATTTTAATGACCTACCTATTATATCTGTCATTCCTCTCAGAACTCTGAAGAGGCTGAAAGGAAATTTCTTTCCCAGAGTCCCACCACAGGTTAGTGCAGTGGTTTGAAGTCAGCTGAATTACCCTTCTGTGCATTTAGCAGTTAAGTCTCAATCCTATGCTAGTATTTCTTAACTTTGGCTCGCCTAGGCCTCACTCTCACTCAATTAAACCTGAACTATGGGAGTGGGGCCTCCCCAGGTGATTTCAACAGACAACCCAGGTGCAGAACTGCTCTAGACCCTTGTGATACAAAGTGTGGCCTTCGGGCCAGGAGCAGCCTTAACATCAAGTGGGAGCTTGGCAGAAGTGTGGCATTTTGGACTTGGACCCAGATGTGTTCATTCAGAATCCGAATTTTAACAAGATTCCTAGGTGATGTGCCTGCACATTAAAGTTTCAGAAGCACCACACTAGATCATACGCTTTTAAACTTAAGCTATTTTATGATTCAAAGTTCTACATGGGGGGGTGCCTGGGTGGTTCAGTCGGGTAAGGATCTGCCTTTGGCTCAGGTCATGATCCCCGGGTTCTGGCATCAAGCCCTCCATCAGACTCCCTGCTCAGTGGGGAGCCTGCTTCTCCCTCTCCCCTGCTTGTGTTCTTTTTCGCTCTCTCTTTTAAGATCTAAAAGAAAAAAAAATTCTACTTACACTGGAAGGAGCTCTTGGTCTCAACACATTACCTACAACCTCATAATGCCTGGGAAAGGAAGCTCACACAACTCAGCTTAAGCCACAGAATGAGCAGGGTGAGCACAGATGGCAGTAAGGAGCCTGGGCCAGGAGGGAGCAGGCTGAGGTTCGGGGCCTGATGACAGAGGTGCTGGGAATGCCCTGGCTGAAGACCTAGTCCATCGACAGCTCAACATGTGTGTCTTGAGCCTCTGTGTTTCCTATCACTCAGGGAGAGACTCCTCCAGTCTACGGCTTGGGGACAGGGGACCGTGGCCTCCCTCTCTCTGTATCATGCTTCTGGGGCTGGGCCATTACCTCGAGGACTTGGAAATGATTTGATCTTCATGTTTTGAATCATATGAAGAGATGCTCTTCATCCTGGACCACAGTGGCCTCACACGGCCAGGCCCGGAGAGGTACAAACTCGAGAAGACCTCAACTCTCGTAAACTCCCTGATGAGGCTACCAAAGGAATGAAACAAGTCTCTCATGATCGTGTGCTCATTCCTAACTCAGTAGGAGAGAGTCTGCGTGTGATGCTACTGGAAAGTTGAAATAAAAAGTGCCCCCCCCATTACTCAAGACAAGAGCACTCGTGTAAGAAGACAACGTTAGTGGGGGCGCCTGGGTGGCTCAGTGGGTTAAAGCCTCTGCCTTCGGCTCAGGTCATGATCCCAGGGTCCTGGGATCGAGCCCCGCATCGGGCTCTCTGCTCAGCAGGAAGCCTGCTTCCTCCTCTCTCTCTGCCTGCCTCTCTGCCTACTTGTGATCGGTCTGTCAAATAAATAAATAAAATCTTTAAAAAAAAAAAAAAAAAGAAGACAACGTTAGTGATGTTTTCCGACTCCGGGTTTAAAGCTGATTTACGTTTAGGTGTGCTTTGCATTTCTCAGGTCCTTCAGCTCACAGACATGGCGAATGTACATTTCCTGGTTCCTCTTTTTGCCCCTTCAGTGGAATATATGATGAGGACATTTCTCCCTTGGGTGTGTGTGTGTGTGTGTGTGTGTTGTGTTCTGCCATCCTGGGAGGGCCGAGAGGAATTATTAAGATGGTGTCTCTGAGCCAGTAACCCCACATGGGTTCTGGTGAACTTTTAGGCATCTACTACCTGGTGCAAGTTCTAGGCACAGGGGCCATATTAAAAATGCTACTCCCCAAGATAAAGGACAGTCTTCTTGTCAGGGGCTCCAGGAGCAGACTTCCAGGCCCATGCGCTGCAAGTTTTTCAGAGGCCGTTTGGATGCTGTGTCAGAAGAAAAGGAATTGCTCATCTGGTCCTAGCAGATGTACTCTCCACGGCCCACAACAAGGTCGAGGGCGCCATGTCCTCTGGGGGTGGGGAGTGACCCAGCTGTCTTGGCTGGTGGGATAGCTGGATCAGGGGTGGATTTCAGACCCTCCTCAGCCTCTCAGAGGGCCCCTACCGGCACACTCCACACGGTAGTGTTGCCAGCATGTGTCTATTTCCTGATATATTCGTATCTACAGATGCTATTTTACACACACGCAAATACGTAGATGTACACGGCCAGCTTTCAGAACACCAACATTCTGTAAAGCACTGAGGCCTCTGCGTCCTCTGCTTATCACGTTTGACGACACAAACATGCATACACCCATCACGCCTGTGTGCACGCTGACAATGCCCAAAGTGGGGACAGAACACAAAATCTAGAGTTCTATTTACTTTGCAAATACATTTCTTTCCCCAGAGTACAAGGTCAGAAATCAGACCAAAGTTTTCAGACGCATGTGAGCTGAACTAACAAATTTGAATTCCTTCTTCCGCATGAACGTTCAGATGAAAGGTCTGTGTTCCTCTTCCTAAAAT